AGAGTGCATTCTCACAATGCTGTGAATTATCAGGGAGTGAGCCCTGCAAGGGTGTGTGTGTGAGGCCAAGTTGGTTTGGCTTTTATTTTTTTTTTAAGTAAATGTCACAGATCCATAGATTTTAAGGCAAGGGGTAACTTTCCTAATCATTCAGTCTGACACCCTGCATAACACAGACCAATGAACCTCACTCAATTTCTGGATAGCAATCCTGGAGAGACTAAAGGCCTATTCAGCCAAGGAATATAAATCATAGAACACCAGAATTAGAAGGGACCTCGAGAGGTCATTGAGTCCAGTCTCTTGTCCTCATGGCAGGACCCAGGACCATCTAGAACATCCCTGATAGATGTATATCTAACCTGCTCTTAAATATCTCCAGAGATGGAGATTGCACAACCTCCCTAAGCAACTTATTCCAATGTTTAACCACCTTGACAGTTAGGAAGTTTTTCCTAATGTCCAACCTAAACCTCCCTTGCTGCAGTTTAAGCCCATTGCTTCTTTTCTTATCCACAGAGGCTAAGGAGAACAATTTTTCTCCCTTCTTCTCGAGACACCCTTTTAGATACCTGAAAACTGCTATCATGTCCCCTCTCAGTCTTCTCCTTTCCAAACTAAACAAGCCCAATTCTTTCAATCTTCCTTCATAGGTCATATTCTCTAGACCTTTAATCATTCTTGTTGTTCTTCTCTGGACCTTTTCCAATTTCTCCACATCCTTCTTGAAATCTGGTGCCCAGAACTGGACACAATACTCTAACTGAGGCCTAAGAGAGCCTGCATAGTAGTAATGGTTTTTCAGGCTTGGTCCACTAATGTGCTTCCTTCCACTCTGCCCTAGAAGTATTAGGCTGCAGAGCTAGTACAATGTCAAGCTCATTCACTTCTATGCTGAGATTGCTAAAAAGGGGACAACTGTGATGTGACCAAAAGGTGCTTCTGAGAAGACAGTAAATAGCAGGTGAAAAGTAGTACTTAGAAACCTGAGAGTATAAAGCAGACAAAGGAAGACTGAAGACAGGTGCTGCATATATTCAATATGTAAGCCAATGAACCTCAGCTCTTACCTGGATCCTCATATAGAGAGATTGATACTTCCCTGGACTATATGGTGCTTTTGGAATGAGAATAAAAGGTCCCAGACAGACATGGAGACAACAAATATCATTTTGCTTGTGACCTGAGCCTGGTTTGGAGTTAAAAGTTAAGAGGTGAAATCCTGATAGATTATTATACCATCTTTTTTATTTTGTTTTCAAATGCTTCTCCCATAAAAACTGACAAAAAAGGGTTAAGGCATTAAAAATAAAAAAACAAAATGATTTATATGTGAAACACTTCTGAACATGCCCTATAAGTACAGTAGATGTTCCCCTTGGAGCCACACCCTGTAAGAGCTGTATTTTGAGAGCTGAACAATTAACATAAGGAGTATGAGTCAGTCTCTGAATGACTCTGTGGGAACTAGAGATCCTTTTGCTATTAGGAGTAAACTAAACTCCCTAAGGCTGGAATAAGTTCACAATAAAAGGCAGAAAAGGCCATAAATAACAACAATGGACACAACATATCCCAATCCGACACTCAACTATTATTGGTGATATTTTCTTTATGTTCTCTATTAGGCCTAATCATTTTAGTTAATTAAAAAAATAAAAAATGCTGTATGTTTTTGGAATACTATGTATTTCCTATGGGAACTTCAAGGCTTGTTGAGAAAAAAAAAGGCTAATCTACTCTCATCCTGTCGAGTAATCCCAAATTCCTTTTAGCCAGTGAAATAATTAAAGAAAAATATTCCAGGCATAAAAAGGAGGACAGAAGAAGCAGACATCATATAAACAATGACACAGTGACAGAAAAAAACGTCAAAGTGCCGCCAAACTTGTGACTTGACTCTGAAAAGGCTGCGGGAAGTGGGGGTTGCTGCTAACAAAGTAAAACCAGATTTCTTGGCAAATTGTTAAAGAAAGATATTTACATTTGTATGGAGACTGGGTGGGCACAAAAGATTAAAATGCTTCTTTAGCCCTTGAACTGTCAAGACCCATTAGAAATCTTGTGTTCTTAAAATTCTAGGGTCAGTTCACTCCTCTTTGTCACTAAATCTCTGCATGTGAGAGCCTTCAGAAAATTAGACTCACAGAGAAAGAAAGGTTATTACTTACAAGCAGAGTTCTCTGAAGTTAGTATTATGTACATGTATTCCACCCTTAGCCACATACATGGCTTCTACCACCTCACTTCAGCAGGCAATATACAGCTCTATTTATTAAGTCTTTTTCACAGAGGCAAATTATTTGGCATGCTTGTTTTCAAGGGTATTAAATACCACTACTGATTGTCTACTATTTTCCATGTACCTCTATTATAAAGATAAATAATTTGCAAAAACATGGATACTATATGATTACCATCCACAACTACCTATAGAAGAGTCTAGTTTACAGACATTTACCATTGGTTTGCTAAAGGAACTATTTATGGAGCCACACTCATGAAAATAAATCCTACAGCTAATTAGCCCAAAGAAAATGGAAAGGGTTGGGCACTTAGGAAACAGACCTGACAATACAGCTCATACAGGCACTGAACCTTCTTGCGTCAAAGATTTGGGATGTTGCATTTAAAGGGAGGTTTGTTTCTGGAGTGAACAATTCTTCCCCACTTCCCTGGTTTGGTTTCTCTTTCTAGCTTGTCTCAGCCTGTTTCTGTGTTCAGCCTGGTTATGTTACAATAAAACCATGTATTGCTGGATAATTACATTCTGTCTCTGGTGGAGGAAATTTATTGTTTTGAACTGCACTTACAGATTAACCATTTGTCTTGACCTGCTTATCAAGAAACAAACTTATAGAATCAATGAGTGACTAGTCCTGTGACACTTTAGAGACTAACCAAAAAAAAATTTATATATAGCATCATGAGTTTTCGTGGACAAAACCCACTTCTTCAGATGAGCTCTGTTTTCCACTCTGGCTCATCTGAAAAAGTGGTTATTTCCCACCAAAGCTCATGTTACTATATATATTTTTGTTAGTCTCTAAGGTGCCATAGGACTACTCATTTTTAAAGTTACAGACTACCATGGCTATCCCTCTGAGACTTTTTAACATGCAAGGCACTGCATTCAGCCATATGGAGCAGAAATCCATCAACTGTTGTTTTTTTCACTACAGCTCATCTGAAGAAGAGAGTTTTGACCACGAAGGCTCATGATAATATATATTTCATTATATATATATATAT